GCTCACCATACTACCGTCGTCTACCACAATATGAGCTACTGGAGAGTTTCTGCGCGCGATCAATTAAACAAGACTTACGTCGAGATACCGAGATAGAATCCGCTAACTTTTTGCCAGAATTTTGGTATATGAGTTAATTGCACATGCAGCGTCTTATTGGGATTCTCAGTACATTTAATAGCATTTCAACAGTGTGGTGACACATGGACATCAAAAGCGAATGTTGGAAAATCATTTTTAACGATTACTTTTCGTTATGCCTCTCTGCTGTGTTATAAGGATCAAAATCGAATGTGCTGTTCGAATTAAGAGAAGTTACAACGTTATTGAAAAAAAATCGAAAAGAACACGACTTGCTAACTCAATATTTCTCTTGAATTTGCAAAAAAAGATCATATACCACTACCAAATAACAATGCATATTTATCTGGCCAAGCCTAAAAACTAAAAAATAACTGTGATGCTTAAATTTCTTTTTGGGGCAAGATTCCAAAAATGTTGGCGCTGTGGCGGCGTTTCAAATGAAACACATTGAAATTGGAAGGGAAAGAGAATGGCTTTGAAGAAAAGCAACCCAGTTTACAAGAAAAATAGACTAACTTTTAGAAACTGGCTCATGTTTCGGTAACAATTTCATGCAATGAATCCAAGATCGTGGAACATCACTTGCTTTTCTATTTAAATAAAGTGAGATATTCAAAGAAAAGAAACTCTATGAGCAAAGTACTATGAAATTAGAGTTGTCCCAAAGAATCCCAAACAGAGGACCAAACTTCTAGCTTTCATGGTCTGTACTCATATTTTGTAATGAGTCAAATTAGTAAGTCTTTTTCTTAAAAACCTTCAATCTAGCAAAGGCTTTGAATTAAATTTCCAACTTTCAGACGCTAACTATCAATTAGAAAGCAGTAATTAAGTGGAGAAGCAATCACAGTATGCTATCTCAGTCACTATCTTCTATGTTGACGTATGGCGTTAACATAGAAAATAACCAACTTCCAGCTTGATTAAATCTAGGAAAATACTTGAAATTTCCCCTCCGAAGGAAATAGATAATTAAGCAATGACGTCTAATACATAGGAAATTTAATGAAAATTGGAAATATCAGTGGAGTACGAATTAAAGGAAATATATGTAGAGCCTAGTACAAGTAAAGTCACATAGCCATACTGGGTCCTCGTAAACATTTCTTTTCCTGTAAAAACGGCAAAACAGAATTTGCGGGTGGTCGCCCCAATTGATTAGTTCTCGCCTGTATCAGGTGTAGGTCCAGAAGTGAGACAATGACCGCGATAGGATATTTTGCTTTTTGAATTTAGGAACCCTTTTTGCAGTTCAACATTCAATCAGCTAATGTAATTACTAGACGCATAGGAACGATTCTTTGTTGAACTCTGTTTATCTGAGATTTAGAAGGGAAAGCTTAATCTAGGAAAGGTGGATCACAAACTTGGCGCATCGATAGGGAGTCTCTTCTGCTAGACGTGGCTGCAAGCAATTTTACCTGTCAAGAAAAATAAAATAAGAAATGCGCTGGAACAGAGATATTTTTGTATAGCACCGGAAACCGCAAACTAATTATTAATTCTAAGGAATAAAACTATTGTGTATTTCTTGTGATTATGTATTGATTTAGCTTTATAGGAAGCACTTCCGCAACCTTGACGTTTTCATCGAACGACCTACTTCCTACAATCCTAGGGTTTTTCGAGTCAGCCAATCTTTCGCCTGGTATTGGATTCTGCTTCTCTATTGAGATCTTCTTAAAACCCTATTACTTGTTTCACATAACTTATATCTAAGGTATCATATGAGATTTCGGAGCGCACTGCAGCTCATCATGGCTGCTCTTGTGATATTGCTATTGGTGCTGTATTTTCGCCAGCATCGTAGCGCACATGTAGATCTGACAAAGTTATTTTGCAATAAAGTTAATACAGCACCGGCTGGAATGAGTTAAAACCAGAAATAGTGAAACATTACTTATTAATTTTCTATCAAATCATTAGGGTAATCAGGAAGCACTATATGACATAGAAACGTTAAGCTTTGCCGAACTTAAATACTTCCTACCTGACAGCGTGAGTGTTCTCTATGAACGAAGGTTTACCACGTCAGTGAATTGAATGTATTGGCGTAGAAATTTCCGTTTTTCCCATCGAATGTGAATGCATGATTTGCACACCACGATGGTCAGTGTAATGGTGGTGATGTTCTGGAATTATCAGAGCTACTACATGAGGACGCTACAGTCACTACCAAACTATATTGTTAATTGGATCGTGCGGCACGCAAACTGAAAGGAAAAAAAAGATCGTAGTGTGTTTCCTTTTGTCGGAAAAAAAACCACAAAGAAAGAAGAAGGATGCGAAGAATATGGAATACAAATAGCAGCGCGCAGTCTTACCACCACAGGGTCAAAGCCCATGGAATCTTCTGAACCAAAATAATCACGTCGAACAGGCAAAACATAGCTTTCCCATCTACCGATTGAAATTTGGCTAATTTATGAGGTATTCTAACCTAAGTGACATCTGTTTCCCCCCTCTCTTTTCCTTTTAATCTTCCCTTAAGCACTTCAACGTATTTAGAATTGCACTTTCAAGCTCAAACGCTATGGTCTCAAAGTGATTAGATGGGAATGCTAAGAAAAAGTGAACAGCAACGCAACAATTTTTATGCGCGAAAATTTCCTCTCAGAACATCACAAGTCCGCGAGAAATTTAACTTTTTGCCCTGACAAAGATTAATGTACCAAAACATTGCGATAGTGAATAAAAAATTTGTTGTTCAAGATGTAAAAATCAAAAATGGAAGGAAAACAATGGGGATAAGAAGCAGGCAAAGCACATAGAGCAGAGGTTGGCACAGTTTTCTCCCACTCCGATCTTGCACACAACGAGATCGCGCATTCAATTTGTGCTATCCACAACTTTACGAGGTAGAAATGATACAAAAATTTACAGAACCAGACGACAAACTTACTTTAAATATCATACTACTGATCTTATCAAACTACTAGTCAAATCTATTCATCATAAAAAGCAACTGTTCCACTCTCTGTACAACTACATTCTCTATGTTGCAATTTTTTGAGTGAAAATATATGAATATAATAAGGATAGACCATGCATAGTTGATAGGTTCCAAACTGAGGTAACTCTAGGGCGTTAATTTTTATTTTTCATTATTCGAATTTAAGCGCATTTGACTAAAACAGGGCATTACACATTTTTAGGCGATATATAAATGCGCATCACAGCAAAAATACCTATATAAGAAAATCCAAATTGCAAATTAGGTGCAACTCAGGGAAACTGTATACATGTTTGTAACTGTTGATATCGTTAACTTTAAGTGTAGTTGAGACATTCAAATACTTTTTCTAATAAGGATATCGAGTCGTAATAAAAAATTCGAACGAATTACGAATTAACAATAATAGAATTTCCAAGTTGCCCACCGTTCATAGTAACCCAGCAATGGATTATTACGTAAGCGACAATAGAAGATGGGATCCATAAATGCGCAAAAAAGATTAAACACATGATAAAGAGAAATAAAACGCAGTCATGGTGGATATAGTCGACCTAACGGCAATGAAAGTATTGACAGGAGATGGTCACTTTTTCAACTAATGTGGACCTCAGAAATGGAGATGACCGCTAACTCAGAATCAGAAAAGTGCAAAATCGAGAACAAGGAACTGGAAGTAA